GCTCTAGCTTAGGACCTGCCTTGCCAGATCAAACCAGTGGTCCAGCAGCACGCACTGGTGTGACATGACCTTAACACTGGTGAGGGAAATCCTGCCGCAAGGTTGGGGAAACACCCTGGTCAGTCACGGCCTGATCATGAAAACCCTTAACAAACGAAGCTTTTTCCCCTCATTACAGTGAAGGATGTCAATGACTAAGATCATCCACAGTAGACTCAGTAGGAGCCGTATTACTAAAACCCACAAAAGAATAAAACAATTTTTGGTGGCTGGATTTCATAAGTAGGTTGTTGCCTACATTGTACTGATAATTTTTTCTTTTCTAAAGTTAGGAAAAATAATATTAGGAAATAACTATATGGTATTTTTATTCCACTTTTTCCCAGCACCTCGCATGACATCTCCCCGTTCCACCCGCAGATGCTATCACAGCACCTATCAATTACACCTAGCTGGCAAGTGCAACGGTGGGGCTACGAGAGGAGCTTTGCAAACACATTTATAAAGCAGTCAGCTTTAAGCAGCTATCGGCAGATGTATCTGAAAAGCAGCACCATTCAGAGGAAAGGAGATGGGACGGTACGGAGATGGTTGTACCAGGAAAAGATAAGGAGCAAGCCCAGAGGCTCCTTCCACTAGATGGCACCCGGCGCCAACATCTCAGTTTTGGGTGAACAGCAGGAGAAAAATGGGTGACATGCAGGAAAGCTGAACTGAACATGACCTCCCTACATACCTCAGCCCAGGAAAATGAGAACTGCAGGTATTAGCCAGCTCCCCCTGTGAAAACTGAAAAGCATGGGCCATTGGAAACAGAAGGCAAATGTGGTAAAAACTGTAGGGGTGTCTAGAGTTAAGCAAGAGGCTGTGAGAAGGCTGAAATAACAAAAAAGGAGAAATTAAAGCTCTATGGTAAATATCTCTGCAGGGATATTTACTCTTTCTTCTACCTCAGGCTTATTTGCATTTTTAAATAAAAACCTTTGAGTCTATGTCATTGGCATGTATTAGGTGTCCCGTGGAGAGCCAAATTGTGCTGCTATTCCTTATGTGGGGAGCTTACTTCTGCAACAGCTCTCATGGAAAAAGGTTGCAGTCCTGCACCGTGTATAAAATATAACTTGTGAACATATGTGCTAAGGACATGCCCAAATTGGCTTGTCAAACTTACGGAGAGCTTGGCATGAAATCTGGAAAATGCTGGTACGAGCCCCTTTTGACTTCAGACACAGCCTGAATCTGGAGAGTCTGCAGAACACGGCAAAAATAATTAGAAATTTCCCTTTCAAAAGCAATTTCAACTGGCAGATTAATGTCATGTTATTTAAAAAGTGATGCCACAGATTAGATTAATTGGCTTCCTTATTAGTTAGTCTCAGCAGGGGTGTAGCAAGAGCATAAGTGGTACAAAGCCTGGCCTTCCTGATGAGGCAGATCAGAGCTGAGGATGAGGAACAGGGTAGAGAGAGCACAGGGAAAGTCACACTGTCACAGCCTGTTTCTAGGGCTGAGTGTTTAATGAGCAGGAGTGATATTGTGGAGGGGAGTGAGTTTGTTCATCAGCAGTCACTGCCTGACTGCTGATTTGGAGGTACCCAGGCATCACAGGCACACACCGATGGGGCATAAAGCCTGTCCCGACTTGCAGAAGAGGATTAATGCATGAAAACAGTTTGTAGAAATGGCAAAGGGGTTGTTGATCAGTGCCAGTCTCTTTTGTCCTTCATGTTATGATCAGGTGGAGGGCAAGGATGCTGCCTGTGTGTTACAAATTTTATTGTCAGCAAAGAGCCTGGAACATCAAACTGAACTGAACTTGGTCCTGCCTCCAGCACTCTTCATCCACACACATCCGTCAGAGTGATATTCCTATTTAAATACGTGATGAAGAGATTTTTACCTCTTCATTCAACAGAGGCTCTACCTTCTGTTGATGCATTTCATCACCTAACAGGTGATGCTCATCTCATCACGCTCATCTGCTACACTCCTTCCTCTTCATGCAGCCCCCTAAAACATATGCAGAACTCCAAAGGTATGATAAATGCCCTTGCTCCAGGGAAATGGTAGTGTGCCATGCTTTCCACCACTCACAGGCACCGTGACCACCTGAAAGATCAATGCTATTGTGACTGTACAATATGGTTTGCAATGCCTGTAACATACCTACAGCCTGAACCACTGTGTAAACCATACCTGTATCAACACGAAATGCAGCAATCCTTCCAGCTCTCCTCTTGCCGCTGTATCATGCTGTGGGCTCACCAATGTCCAACACACTTAAGTGCCTTCTAGCACCCTCTCACTTCCCAAATCTTCCTCTTACACTGGATACTTCTCTGACACATCCAACCCTCCAGCTGCCTGCACCACTGCCCAACCAAACACAGAGTGCAACGTGGAACACAGCTGAGCGTGCAATATTGTTGAAGCTGGGGGGTACGAGAACTTGGTTGTCAGGGACAAAGAAAGACCATGTGGTAGTAGCAAACTGCCTGGACCTTTTTTTCGCATTCCTAATACATACTATGCATGATACTTCTTTTTTTTTTTCCACCTTTGTTTTGTCTGGAATAGAGCTGTACTGTCAGTCAAATGTTTTTGCTCTTAGCCAGATTTACTGCAGATACAAAGCTTATGTGTTCATCATGCTGCTCAACACCCTTTCAGCCCACAAGCTAAACAGACTTATTTCCAGAAAGATGGAGTTTTCAAAAAACAAATAACTCCAGTAAGTTCCTGGGGAGGGGAAAAAAAAAAAAAAAAAGGCAAAAATGAAGACCAGATTGATGCAGGGAAGGAAAGAGACTTAAGAAGTGTGCAGGGTGTCACCCTGGGATACCAGAACTCTCCTGAATGCCATGTTCCAACTGTACATGGAAACAGCTTAGCCTCGAGCTCATGATTTTTGTGTGGTAAGTCAATCACAAGGTACAAACTGTAGGGAAGTAGGCCTCACAGGCTCCAGGGCCCACAGATTTTAAAACATGCATGTCTCTAGTACAGATCTTTTCATACAAAGTATTGTTTCTCTGTTGCTAGGTAGAAGCCAAAGAAAGTTATTTTGTTTGGTTGGTTGGTTTTTTTGGTGGTGGTGGTGGTGGGTTTGTGGTTGGTTTTTTGGGGGATTTTTTGGTGTGTGTTTTGTGTGTGTGTAGGGAGAAGCGTGCTGAGACAAATCCTTGAGGAACACCTGAATGTATCTAGTATTTTTATGCGGAAAAAATGTTGAGAGATGTGTTTATACCTTGCCATTGAATCTGTACATCTCTATTCTTAAACTTGCTGGTTATAGTACCAAAGAAACAGGATCAGAAAGAGGGCATGGGACTCAAAAATGTAGGTGTTGCAATGTCTGACTTGTAGGACTTTGGCCCTTAAAACATCATTCCTGTGTGAAGCAGTGAGGTCCCCTGAGGACCGCCCAGTGGGAAGGCTGCTGACCCACAGTACACAGGCATAGTGGGAGCTGCCTACAGGCAAGTTCCCAGTGAGGCTGTGCGGGCCCCATCCCCGCAGGTTTTCAAAACCCAGTGGATAAAGCCCTGAGTAACCCGCTTTGAGCAGGAGATTGGACCTTAGAAGAGCCTTTCCAGCTGGAGTTACCTGGATATCTTTGATCACCCTGTGTATAAACCAGGCAGACCTTTTTTAAACTTTGCAGGTTTTGCCAGTTATTAAAAGCATCCAAAGCATCTACTACCTCTTCAGCTATAATCTATAGAAATGACAACTCAGTGAAGAATCATAGCAAACACTGAAATTATATGTTTTATAACGAGTCATGTGCAATGTTCTACAGAAATGGCAGAGCACAGTGATACTGTCCGTCTTTACCATTCCCGCACGGTTATCACCAGTAAGGTACATAAACCACACAACCTGGCATCAGCTTTCTGGCTTTTAGCTTTGTATTTATCAACAATGTTTTGAGGAATTCTGCTGTGCAAGGGAAATGCTGCTCTGAAACTCTATGTATCATCATACGCCTACATAGGTCTTACTGGTACGGTGGCATCCCATTCCTGACCAGGTGGGTCAGTCCTCGAAGTATATAATAAAAGGTATCTTTTAAGGGACAAGCAGTTAGAAACTGTGGGCTAAACTCTATAGAAACAAGACAGGTGAGATGAGAAGGTGACAGAGTTGGAGCTGCAGAAACTAGCAGCACCACAAAGACAAAACTGAGAAAGGGGGAATTAAATACCCTGCAACTGAACAAAGCTAAAGAATGATCCCCTCAAGCTAACTGATGCCTACATTAAACACTGAGCTATGTCACGATCTCCAGTGGATCAGGGACCTAAATGAAGGAACACTGTGTGATAGAAGTTAATTACTTGTAATGACAAATAATCTTTTTATGCTACAAGTTTTGGGTAAAGCAGTATGCTTTCATTAAGTTCATAAATGCTGTGTAAAGCCTACACGGCATTCTTGTTTGTCTGCACTTATCTCGCACTCTCTGAAAAGATAAACTGTAAACCCAAAAGCTCTTAGCTTCGGTGTAATTGTGAGTGCATGTATCTAAGCAGCATTAGGATCCTGGGACTACTGGTCTACCTGCCTTCAGATGGAATGTTAGAGCATGTGTATGAAAGGAACCTGCCAAGAGACCTAAAACTGAAGGGCGATGCCTCAATTCTGACCGAATTTAAGGGACTGAACACCCCTGGATAGATCCTCTGACAGTGCTCTGGTGAGTGGCCAACCACGACTCTCAGCCAGATGCCAACACATCTATATTCTAGCCAAAAACTTGAAAGCTGGAATATGAAATTCATGTAGTCTGACTCTCCGGGGAAGCTGAGTACTTCTGTTTCCAGACTATGTCATCTTTTGTACAACACACAGCTCAGTGGATACTGCAGCTGAATGCCAGACCATTGCAAAGGGCTGTCACAGGAAACCATTTGTCACGATACACATTATTTTGCAGAGTTCTTAATGGCTGAGTTTTAAAACATTAAAACATTTTAAGACATTAAAAAATTGCTTACCCATGAGGTATTTTGCTGAGGACATAATATGCCGTATATGAATGCTGATACACCTGCAAAACAAAATTAAGAAACAAAACAAAAAAAAGAGATTAATAATTGTCACCTGTGTTAATAAGGCTCTTCTTCTGCAAAAACAATCTACCATTTATGGCTAGGGAGCTCTTTTAAACACTTCAAAATCTGTAGTAGAAAAGAACAATACACTAATTCACCTAACACTGTTGTGTGTTCTTTTCATCTTGCACTTTATTACAGTGTTTGGCAAATCGTATACATCCAGATGCTCTGTGTCGTTACCATGACTACCAGGTCTTTGATTAAACTGGGGGCACATGGTCTCTGCAAGGGCTAAATATAGAACAATCGTTAATGAGGACACCTTGGTCGGCTGGAGACGTTCTCCATCATTATAACTAGACACAACAGGGATATAATGCTTTTTTTTCCCCCCTTTATTCCCACATAAATAAACCAGGGAGTGATGCTGGGTGACCTCAGAGCGGGTTGCAAGACCCCTGTCAGTCAGCAAGTAAAACCTTATTGACTTAGGGCGTAAAGCTGACCTCACGCTTGTTTGACCTGCTAAGCTGCATCTTCATATCAATTTGCACCCTCTGGGCCTCGGAGAGGAGCTTGTCAGATTGCATAGCACGTCATTCCCAGAAGGGAGAGCTTATTACTTATTTTCTAAGTAATAATAATAATACCAGAGTCAAGGTCAGCAATTTAAGAGTTGGTGATTTCCCACTCCTGACAATGCTATCCCTTACAGTGATCAGTGGCTGACCAAGGTAAGCAATGCTGAGCAGCACAGGAGTCAGGGCACTACTGTGAAAAGCCTAAATATGAATGACTTTATGCACATTTATTTGTACAGGCATCCACTTTTGCAATCCTGTTCTGTTACTGTATGCTACTAAATAAGTAAATCAATAAGTCTCTTGAAAATAATTTTGTTTGACTTCTACTCAAATCCTTAAGCCACTTGCTCTCCAGTAGCTCTCTCAAAGCAACCTGTCCCAGAGGGCAAAGGAGGAACTTCTTGAATACTTGCTTCACTAATCAAGCTTGTCGGATCAAAACTGTTTTTCCTAAGTACCTCTGTTTTGCACAATTATCTTTTTTTCACTTGTGCCAAGAAACCACGTTCTGGGTGGTGCTGCCAGCCTCTGCAGCGACCATCCCAAGCACATCACTAGTGTCACGGACAAATAAGCATGACTTACTACCCATCACCCTCAAGGGCAAGCCTGCCTAGTGGCATCTGTAACAGGCTTACATCTTTTGGGGGCTCAGTAGAGAGGCAGATAAACTCAAAGCACATGATTCTGTAGATATTAAAACAGACCTCTCTGTTGCAATTTGAATGCAAACACTAAATCTTTACACTACCGCATGAATCTCCTGAAAAAAGGTTAGCAGAGTATAGGGGTGAAGTCACTGGATTTCAAACTATGAATTGCTGAAACTCTTGCCAAATTGATGTGACTACCATTTTCCCTTGTGTAATTCACTCCCTTCATTACCAGGCCATCGTTGAGTTACATCCAAAAATCATACCTCCTTATAGGCATTCAGATACCAAGACTCCTCCAGCAAGGCGAGTCTTTAGTGTATTGATACCAGTGAAGGACTACGAACTCAAGCGAATTTATTGCAAACTAGCATTTATCTCAGTACAGGTGTCCTTTTTAGATTCATCTGTTTCAGATGATGTCAAATAAATCACTATTATCTCATCTACATCCAATCATACCAAAGAGCTCTTGAATCTTAAAATTCTGATACTGAAGACCTGGCTGATGCATGTGGTCTTAGATTTTATTCCACCTTTGGTGAAGTTCAAAAACTGCTACAAGTCCTTGAAGAAAAACGCACTGGAAGACAAAATTTCGTTACAGAGCTGAAAAACCTAATAATATATTGCAATTAAATATTGAGCAACTTTGTCTTCAAATATCCTTTCAGTAGGATACAGAAGATGATGTAAAAACATAAACTGTGATCTGAGGCAAGGACTGGTGTTCAAGGTAACAAGCCATGCTGTGTTGTCAGCTATCAGAGGCAGAGGCAGAAGCCAGCTCCCAGAATGAACAGATGCCTTCCACTGTGTTGTCAGCTATCAGAGGCAGAAGCCAGCTGCCAGAATGAACAGATGCCTTCCGGGGAAAATAGAGAAATGTGGCAGGCAGAAGGGAAAAGAAATAGCCAGGGAAGTTTTGAGCAGAACTTCTACGGATGTCCCTGCTTGCGGTACAGAGTCCCCACAGCCGTGCTAGAGAGTTTAGTGATGTCTTAGAGTCATGTAAAATATTTTCTTTGCCGAGAGGGTTTAGGAGTAGGGAAAACAAAACTTGTAAGACTCTCAAAGAACTCCTTTATTTTTTCAACATCATTTGTCATTCCCTTGAGTCTTTGGCCAGACTAAATGTCTCACATCAGCCTTGATTGTAGCATGTAGTCTTCAAAGGCTTGCAGCTGGCAGAGTTCATTCAATGATTTGAGCAATCCTTTCTCAAATAAATCCTTAAAATTAGTAGGTTTGCTCATGTAAAAAACTACTTGTATGAGCAAAGATTTCAGTATCAGACATTTATCATTGTAGTTCTTATGGACAAGAGCACATGCAACTCCAAAGTCCTTCTCACCCTTACTATTTCAAACCTGTTTGGAAAACACATTGTGAGCAACCCTCCTAAGCAGACAGGAATCCAAGAGAAACATCTCAATGTCTTTCTGAGAAAAGAAACGGCTGCTTCCCTCCTGGATATGCAAACCAAATTTAAGTAATTTTAACTTTTCAAGAGGATGACTACACCTGCTTAGTATCTCAACTAAAATTTCTGCTGGGGTCAAGCTGAATTAGACTATTCACTTACCAGTAGGAACCTCCCTGTTTCTGAGGCTTAGTCAAACAAAAATAACTGTATTAACTCTCTGTGTTCCCCTTCTCTGTCCAAGGGGTGTGGTAAAAGCCATTGCACTGATTTGATGCTCTTAGCCCCATTTTTGTCTGGAACCCAGAACCACACAGCTCCTCTCAGCAGAGAAGCATATTTGAAGGTAGAAGAGTTTTTGGCAACTGTTTTGCTCTGTAGACCCTGTGTGCCAACTCATTCCAACAACATAAGTTAGAACAGGTCTGAGACTGCTCTGAAGGGTTCTAGGTGTCACCAAACCAGTGCCACAAAAGCTCCCATATCAGCTGTGACCAATGAGAGCTCTAAAAGTCATCACACTAAACCCACTGTGCCAGAAACACTCTCCCACTGAGCTTCTCATCCCAAATCAGAGCACAGCTCTTGCTTAATTTCAATCTACATTATGCTCTGCATCATGTGCATGTTTACACTGAAATCATAAAGGGTCTAAGACATGCATCTATATGTTTCCACTTAAATCATGGAAAGAAAATCATCTCTCTAAAACTCAGAAAAATAAAGGACTAATTATATATGACAACACTTTGTTGTGAAGCCACTGACCTAATTTTATTTAATAAAAAAGGAAACCTGGACCTGACCAGATGATAGCAGAAATGCAAACATTGCAGCACATACAGCAGCAGAGAAGAGCATCTGACTCTCCCCCCACCAAATTCCAAAATAACAAGTAAACTGCGGTTCCTATAAGCTACAGAAACAAAATGGAAGAAGCAACTTCTGTGCCACATCACTGCAGAACAAATGGCAGAATGGTAGCAAATGTGAATGGTAATGTCTCCTTCAAAGCACTTGTTTCATCTCCAAGGAGACAGGTCTTAGTCCTGCAGGTTTTACTTAAATAGTAAAAAATGTTATTTAAGAAAATATATGTTATTTAATAATAGAATGGATTTGGACTCATTTATTCACATACATACTTCAAACTAGAATCCATAGCTCTTGTTCTTGCCTCAAAGCAACTGCACAAATACTTGACATAAGTCTAAAAAGACAGGCGGAATCCTGGTTACTTCCCCACATCTCATCTGGTTTGTCACACAGACATAAGCTGGACACATGGAGCATTCACCTACATTATTGACCTTTGCCTTGTTAGAAGTTTGAAATTGCCACCATATTTTCAGATTGGCACTGCCTGTACAACTCAAAGGATTAGGAAAAGGTTTTAGTTGGAAATTAAGGAATTTTTAGAAAGCGATTGTGAAATTGTGAAATGTGTTTTCAGCCTATTTGGCCGGTATAAAAAGATGACACTGTCTGTTGAGGATTTATCATCAGCTTCAGAAGAAAAATAAGAGTTTAGCCTACATTTCCACCTTCTTGGCTGGTTTCTGCGACACTTTGTGGACTGATACCATGCTAAAAACAGCAATAATCAGCAGTTATCAAAAGGCTTTCTTTTATGTTTGCAAGGCAAGATGCTGAATCAATATAAACAAGACACAAATGCAGACTTTCTTTCAAGGAGTTTACAAGCAAAGAAATGGGGGAAAAAACCCTTAGAAGAAAACTCCTCAAATCAGCCCAATCCTCTCATCTTCCAACAGGCTTTTCTATCAAAAACGCCAGTTTAGGGTTTTACCTCTCAGCACATTAAGCAGTTCATGGATCTGAGATTAAACCCAGGTGGACTGGCCACTGTGATCTCAGGATTATTACTCACTTGATAAATAGAGGACTAAAATATCCTTTGTATCCATTTTCTAAATGAATCCATAGAGCCACCATGCATATTCCATTCCATGCAATAGTGTTATTTACATTAAAGAACTATCCAGAAAACTCACCCAAAAATCCCATAAAACTTAAGAGTTTGAAAGGGAACAGCTACAGGGCAGAGTAGAAGTGCAAGCTGTGTCATATAATACAATATTTGTAGTAGTTAGTGTCTCTCTTCTTTTTGAGGAATCACATGTTTCAATCCAAAAGTCATCCCAATACCCACCAACAAAAATGAACACTCTAAATAGTCACTGGAAATAAGACTGTGCAACGGTTGGCTAAATTCTGAAAATACCAGGAATGTATTCTAATGTAATTAATCATAAAGCACTCAGTAGTTATCTGGGTAAAAGGAATCACTTTATATTCCGTAACAATAAAGT